TGAGGTTTTAGCAATATTTGTAGTGACATTTTGAACACTATCTGCATCATTTGTGTCCATATCTTGATAATCTATACGAGTTTTGTCAATTTGCTCTGTGATTTTAGTAACTGAGCTATCTGTGCATTTTTATCTGAAGCAGTGGTGACATTGGACGTGATAACTTGACTATCACTTATCTTTTGCTTTTTATACTGCACTCTGTGATTTCTAGTCCTTACAGTTTGATCTCCTCTACGCCTGTTTTGTGTTTCGTCTTCTGAACTAGTTTCTTGATCAAGCGTTTTTTCATTACCTGAGTTTAGGTGTGAGAAATCATTAATCTTGATTGGGCTTCTGCCCCTATCATTATCCTCTAAAGTTGGACTCGTATTTCTAATATCCACTAAGGTATTAGTGTTTTCGTTAGTGTTTCCTTTTTCATGATTAATTTGTTCATTAAACACTTTCAACATATCAACAAGACTATGCAAGAATGTGTAAAGTTTGCCTTATGTGTCAGTGAATTCTCCATTTTGCTCTTTGACATGGTCGAGCTCACTAATCTGCGCTTTCACTGCACCTAGCACTGCATCCATCTTCGCATCGAAAATCAAAATCCTGTACCCTGAATATAGGAGTCCAACACCCCGGAATTAGGCCCACTCGATGGTTCCCAACAGGCAGATGTGTTGGCGAAAATTCCCGCAAGGCCCCTGACAATCACCTGAAGCGAAAGCTTGGGGGTAACTATGCGGGAATATGCAATCCAAAATCCAGACAAATCACTGAGTATTTAAGTTAGAAAATCCTGGAAAAGACGAAAATAATTACTTAAATTACTTATCAAAAATAAATTTAATAAGCAATCATATCGGGAAAATCAATCACCAAAACCAGCAATTAATGGCATAAGACAATTGTAGGCAATCGCGGCGAAACCCAAAGTAGGCTTAACCAGAAGCACGAGGCACACGAGTTAGACTCCGCCTACCTCGTAATCGGACGTACACGGAAACCTGACGGAAGAGCGAAAAAAAGACCCGACCTTCACTCACCACGGTCCCCCTGCGAATGAGTGCACTGGAGAACTGCGCATTTCACATCATTCGCATGACTCGGAGATGTGCGACTACTTTGAAATTTGCATAATTTTCGGGCCACTCCTTGGTGTTGCATTTTCAATGTCGGGTCGTGTATTTACAGAATGCAAAATATTTTAAAAGAGCGTTGATTTTAAAAGATTGTTTTCGTCAATCCAGTGGTTTACAACTTTCCGGATAGCCTTTCCATTTCACAAAGAGTTTATTTCCTTTTTCCTTTATTATATTTTCAAGTTTATAAATTTCAGTTTTTTTCTCATATTTCTCCAATTCTTATTCATGTAATCGTGTTTAAAACCTGCACAAATAATAAAAATCTTTTCTTTAAAGGTAGGACCATGCCTATAGTAGAAAGAAGTTTAAATTTTGATATTCGAATGGTAACACCGGTTCTGAATTTAGTTTTTTAAATTTACTTATATAAATTCTTATAAATTAGAGCTTCATTACCTTTATCGGATGCTTCCATGGGTGTGATTTTTATAGATAAATGATATGAATTACTATAATTTATCTAATACGTCTATATATGTTTTAGTTCCATTTGCATCCAAATATTTTCTAATCTTTTCATTCAAAGCCTTATTCAATTTTTCAACTACGGCACATATGACTTCTGCATTTTGTATAGTAAACTAGAGAATATTATTATCTCTAAACAATTGTTGGGTATCTCTATTGATGAACTCTATACCTTTATCGGTCTGAAACGTTATGGGAACTCGTCCTTTAAAAATCTTTTTAAATGGCGTTTATGACTTCTTCGCCTGTTTTTCTGTTTATGGGAACAGTCCACGCATAATTATTAAAACAATCAATTACGGCTGTTAAATAATTTATTCCTCCGTTATATTTATTAAAAGTCTTTAAAAATAATAAATCAGCTTGCCATTGATCGTCAATGCTATATTCTTCTCCTTCTTGTTGTAAATTAATCAAACATTTTGAAAAATATCTTTTGTAACTGTCTACTTCTAGTAACCGTAGCAACTCCAAGGCGCAACCAACCACCGCCAAAAACGATATTCAATGATTCTTTTTCTCTTATACTTTTTTATTATTATTCACTCTTGCGTGCTTCTACATATCTTTATGTATCCAAATCAGAAACTACGGAGGAATCAACATCAAAAGAGATGACAACAAGTTCCTATTGAGTCAGAAATCAAAAATAAAAAGTGAGGAAAATTTTTATCCGGATATTTATAAAGCCATGTTACATGCCGAAGGATACTTCTCATCCAAAAGAAGAGGACGCCTTGTAAGGATTTATTTTATTTTAACTAATTATTTTTAGTTTTCCTTTCCTTTCCCTCCTTATTTCCGTTTCCTGCCAGAATGTAAATTTTGTTATGACGTAATATTCAAATTTATACGTGTTTCAGAAGCAGTATTTAAGCTGTGTGTCAAGAGTTCAAAAATAGTTTTAGCGGACTTAGTTCCGAGTTTTATGCTGCGTGTTTGAATTTAGCTCTCTAGCCAAACCCCTTTCAGTTTATACCGATATTCCTCAGCTCGATTTTGCTGTGTGCAACCGATTTAGCGTTGGTCAAGCTAAGAAGCCAGTCATTAGATATCTTAATTTATTAGTGTTGTGTAACATTATTATTTTCTGTTAATTTACGTGGCCACAAGTGGTGGTGATTTGTGAGCAGGAAGTGAGTGCATCGGTTTTAATTTAGGTTAAACGAAAAGATTAGTTAAACCTTTCTTCTGCAGAAATTATTCTTAAGACATAGCGAGAATTCGCTACTTCGTCTTCGACATAGAGTCAACGTTTTATGCTGCCAAAGAATACTCATAGACTCTATAGCCTCTCCACCAGTGGACAATACCAAGTATAGCCCTCCTAGCGTTATGAGTTAAGCCCTGAAATTTTAAAATTTATCAAAAGGTCATGATTAAATGGTATTTTCTTGATTAAAATTAAAAAACTACTCTCTCACTTTGTACCTAGATTCCTTTTCTTCCAATATACATCCAACCAGAAATCGGGCATATTAAAAACTGACAGAAATTTTCCGTGCCAAGCCATGAAAAATTGCTTTAGGATGGTTTCTTGTGTGCAAGCCTAAAGAAAATCTTTAGATATTCACACAGAAGATTTGATTTTTAATTGTAGCTTAAATTTTTTGAGCTTTCTTAGAATGCCTAAATATACTTTGTGGTTTTTTGGGGAATATTCCTGACATGTATCTAGAAACAAGCTAGTATTGAAATATTTGATGCATATTTTCATGTATGATTGGAAGGTTAAGAAATTTTCTTGGAATATTCTTTCTGGAATGTTTCAAAGAATATCCGTTCATTATGTGCGATATTATCAGATCTTAGTTTCAAATGGCTTACATGAAATCTGTGTCCACATATTCTAAGTCTACCAGTAGTGAATACGAAAGGAAATGTCCCATGCGCTTTCCACGAGTAATCGATTCGAAGCTTTTCAAGAAAGTAAGACAATTTATCGGAATTTCTGTTCCGAACGGTGGCAGAAGGGTCATAAAATTTTCAACAGACAAATGTTTTAAGAATTACCAAACGAAACCTGACCATCAACGGTGCATAAAAAAATGAAAAAAGTGAACACTTTCGTAGAAGGACAGACATACACACGGAAAATGTAATTTCCAAGTCAAAATTTGGGAACAACACGATTTTTTCAAATTAAACATCAAGAATGAAGAAGCTATTTTGTTTTCTAGTCTATCACAAATTTTCTTTTGGGGAAAATCCGGGACAAACCGATCTCCCCAAAACATTACTCCAGGACAGCGTTTGGCAACCCAACTGTGAAATACCCATACTGGCTGTATGGGTATTTCCGTGGTTAATCCCATTTAACATGGCTACAAGCCTCCATTTCATATTTTCCCTATAAAAGTCTCCCATAAAGCTTTTCTTCTCTTAGGTAGATAGCCATTGCCTGTTTTTCCATAATCAAGGAATACAAACCAACCTTTTGAAATGTTATTGTGTCGAAGATATAGAAATGAGTTACATGTTAAAGACTACAGAAGCCAGAAAGCGAAATAAAACTCATATGAAAATTAGAAATCCTGTGTGCAAATATGTTAAAAATCAAGTTACTTCTTTTAAGTAATTTGTAACATAAAAAAAAAAAAAGAAAGGACAAATTTGTTTAGAACGTTTTCCTTTCGATTGTATGGAGTTGCGTTAAAGATAATTCCGCTCTGGTATATAATTTAATGATGTTCTGACATTAAGTGTAAAAGCCTTTTTTGCTGCTGTCTTCCTGAAAATGCCTCTGTTTGGAAATTTAAAAATGGGAGAATGGTATCTCACTGCTTTTCTGCGCTGGAATACGAGAAGGGTTTTGGTAATTTCATATAATATTTTCATGTAAATGTGAAAACATTTTTGTAATATTTCAAAATATTAATTGCTATTCAAAATAACGATTACATAAAATTAAAAATACCTGAAGAGAGTTTTGGTTGCAGTCAATTTAAAATGGGGTCAATTTTAAATGAAAGAGCATTTACCGATGCTTTGCAGATTCCTTACTATCCGTAGAAACTTATTCATAGGTAGGAGAAGCTATATATTGGAGCCACATAATGGTATGTAGGTAATCGCCTAGTCATATAATTCCTTTCAGATAATAGTATTGTCTGTGTATAAGAATTTTATGTTTTTCCAACTTTTGAAGGATACCAATTGTAGTTTTTCCCTTCCAACCAAGTAGTTCAGCTGGATTTTCAGTTCTAAGAATAAATGCGTCCAGAAAAGGGTGTGATGCGCAACACATAGCATATATTATTCACCTGGCGAATTTCTGTGCAGCTTTTCTATTTGTGTGGCAAAGCTTTTGTTTTGCGCATTAATATAACATTAAAACTAAAGATAACATAAAATTAAACATAACATTTAAAACAGTTTGCTTCAGAATTTCCTTACCTGCTCTCTTATCTTTTTTTCATGATCTCTGACAGATATGAATATCCTCGTATAACAATACAAGACGATAGAGATAGGTATAAACCATCCAAAAAACCAAGTACCCACGATGTAAGATCTACCACTGAAGTCGTGCAAGAAGAAATCCGGTGCGCAGCTGGTCAAAAATCCCTCGGGAACGAAACGACTCCATATGTGAAAAGCTGGTAATAGTGCAAATGGTGTTATATAAACGTACATGAGCACCAGCATCAACACTGCCTTAGTCATCGTCATTCCTGATTTACTGAAAGGGTGGACTATAACTCTGTATCGATCGTAAGAGATGATGGCATTGCAGAAAGCGGAACCCAAGCCTGAGTAAGCGCCTACTACACCATATAGCGTACAACCTATATTAGAAAAAAAGAAGAAATTAAAAATTACAAAACATCGAATCTCTTTCTTCCTCTCAAAAACAAAAAGTGGTGCAGCCTTACGACTAGGTAATGAGTAAAAGAAAAAGGCATGCTAATGCAGAAAAGGTTTTAAAGTTTAATCTTTTTTGTTTTAAGAAAGATTTTGAAATCAAAATGTTCGCAAATGTCTAGATACTAGCAGAGACAACCAAATAATGATAAATATATGCTGTAGTTTAAGCTGCTAGGAAATTTTTATATTCGACAAAACGTCAAGCATTTCGTTCTCTTTCAATTGTTAAATAGCTTAAGTTCACGCCGGGAAATAATGTTATGAATCTTACTTCACGGCACCAATGTTATATCTTAAATTCATATAAAAATGTTAAATATGAAACTACTTGCCGTAAAAGGCAGTAATCGTATAGTGAAACGTGTACAGCATTTTTGCGTTGTGAAAAAAAATGCATTCCGGGACCGCGCCGTGAGAGGATCGAAAACATAAAACATATACAAGATATAAAGGAAAAGTTCATATTAAATATATAAAGAAAACATACTGTAAGAGGTTCCAGATTAAATATCAGTTTATTCAATTACAACACAATAAGAAAAATCTTAACCTCATCTGAGAGTCTGTTCATTTAAATTCATAAAAAAACTTAAGGTTTGTCTGGTGATTTAAAAGAAAGGAAAGGGAAACAATTTAAGGCCTGAGAGTTAAATTTTAGATTTGACGTTGTTTTTTTTTTTTTTTTTTTTTTTTTTTTTTTTTTTTGCTAAGGACGTTTTTGAAAAGCTTGCCTAAAGTTCAAACACACCAAAAAAAATAAAAAAAACTTATCTTGAAGGGACATCTTGAAGCGGAGGACTCTTATCTTATCCCGCGTTGATGTCGGCCGGGCTCATCTTGACACTGGTTCTAAAAATGTAGACCCACTTCACTACTGTAGAACAGAAACAGGAGCACTGCTGCCCAGGACGGCTATCCGCTTGGTCCTGAAAGTCCTATGTCAACACGCAGGTAACTCGTTCAAATTTCGCCGGTCAGAAAAGTTGTTGCTAGGAAATTACGGCTCGCCTGTTCTTACTCATCCCAAGAGCAAGCTTCACGGGTAACGTCCCAAGTAAGTTCCAGAGTAACATCCACAAGTCCAGCCAACCAGTAAGTGCGCGAGTCCAAAAGTAAGAGTGTCCAGAGTAAGTGTGTAAGAGAGTCTCGCCTCTTAACCAAAACGCGGCCGGGGAGCATATTTGCCGCTCCCCGCCGGAAAACACCTCTCGGAGTCACTTACATTTTGTCCAGCAAGCCCAAAAATCAGCGAGTCAGCCAAAAGTAAGTGTGTCCAACTCAAATTTCCTTCTTGTCCTTCACCAAACGGGCTCCCCCTATGGCTTCACTTATCGCCCCCTTAATTATGGCAAAATCTTCGTTTTCAACTCCAGAATGCGGAAAAAAAGGGTGATCGCGCATGCGCGCCCTTCTTCACTTAGCCAACAACCGGACCCTCAATCGCCAAAAACCTGAATGACTTACATTGAAAGACAAGTAGCAACCTTTGACCTTTCCGTCACGTACTTTCCTCTCTTAAGGTCAACTAACAATGAAAATTCTTTCTCGAACATTCTAAAGCGCGCGAAATCATGACTTGGCGAAAATTGCCTCCCTTTCCCTGCTTCTTTCACAATGAATAAAAGTTTGTACAACAAGATTTACAAATAGAGGAAAATAAATAATATTCATTTATACTAAATAATATTTCCCGAAGCATCTGTTTCTCCCCAAAATTAAAGCCTTAAATTAAATAATTCAGAATCAAAATAAAATTTAAATTTCCATAAATCATAAAATCATTCACCTAATTTTTTATAACGCTATCAGATAATTTCTCTACATAACATTCCTTTCCCCTAAGGAATTAAATTTTCGTTTACCAAAATTTAGCAGACAGACACTTCTTGAAATACCATGACTCATACTGTGCAATAAGGCTAAAGGATAACATAATGTAACAATATTTCATACGACTCCTTGGTACAGTGACGTTACTGACACATTAAATGTAAAGTCCAAAATGTGCAAGTAAAACAACAAGATTAATCAAAGCAATTACTAATTAAAATACTCAAGGAAGATCAGCAAAATAATTAATCAAAAACATCAATTAAATCACTTAATTAAACCTAGAAATACTCAGAACACATACAAAAAAAAAAGTAAAAAATAAAAATAAGGCGCTAATCACAAACAAAAATATGTCTAAGATCAATCAATAAGATAATTAACGCGCTGCAGATACATAAAATACATTCCTGAGAAAATAAACACACTAATAATTCAAACAATTCCAAATAAAATATGTCACATGAACGTATTCAAATAAGGAGTAAAGACCCCTAAGTACTACGAAATTGAATAACTTCTAAGATTGAATCCCAAACAGTCACGTCTAAGAACAGAAGCGGCCTGATCAGGGCCAAGCATTAGAAAAGAAAAGAACGTTACAACACAAGGAACCTCGGAACCAGCCGAAAATACCCCACACAAAAAAATCAGAAACAAAGAAAACGTGATTGTCCAAAAATTCAATCCAATCAAAATCAATTCCGAAAATAGCATCCAGAATACGCTGTGCAAATACCAATTAGAATTTTATCCAATACACAAAAAATAATAGTAATAATACAACCTAATGTATATACAAAATGACGTTTGGCCAATAATTACAAACAGATACTACCAAGATACACATATAGACATAAAATGAAAATACAATTAAACTGTAAAAATTTCGTACATAATTCAAATGAGCAATGAGATCAGCGATACTTAAAAAAAAATTTAAACTGCAATACCTAAACAAATACACAAATAGTCATTATGTTAAACCATATCAAGTCAAAAAATATTTCACTGTAATTCAAATCAAGCCAAAAAAAAAATCAACCAGCAAGAGTGAAGTGTCACTAAAAAAAAATTCAAACTTCAAGATAAACACTAGTGAGTAACAACACCATATTTAAGTCCCCTTATTAAGACAACAAAAATTTCAGTAATTCTAAAAATCCATTAGGCCCACAAAAAAAATTTCAACTAGTCAAAGAAATCAATCAAAGCTGGACTGAAGCACGTTACTAGAACACTAAATAAAACATCACAAATCAAAAAAGTGTTCAAAACAAACCCCCCAATTTTAGGCAAAAACTGAGATCTATTCTGCATCAGACTTTTTCAAAACGTTGTATAGTAACCTAAGCAATAGCTTTCAGCACACCTCCACCCAAACAAAAGAAACAAAGTAACTCTTTACCGCGTCCATGTAAGCTGAGAAAAGCGCTGTATTATAAATGACAGACTCAAACTTTACGTATCAAGCAAACCTCCAGACACGTTGAAAGAGAACATAAGATCTCTTATCTCGGAAAGAAAAATGCGCTGACTGAAACGTTACAATTCTGAACCAACACAATGAAAAGATACAACAATAGTTTTCTCAGATAACAAGTTCCTGTTTGCCCCCGGTGTAAGAGGTCAAGTGCCACCATGAAGTGCAAGTATTTACAAGAAAACGAGCTTTCAGGACATTACAACTTCACGCAAGACCTAACTGCAAGCAACAAATGCAAAGTTCTCAAAAGTGCTAAACTAAAAAAAAAATACTCATAACTCGTAACTCAAAAATAACAGAAATCAAATCCATAACTCAAATTCTACCATATCCTATGACCACAGAAATCTCAATTCTTCCACAGAAACTAAACATCAGAGAACTACATTTTACGGACCTTGGCAGAAACCACCAGAAACAAAACAAAACCTGATACAACTATCTTGATACTACCAATTCAAATACAAAACTTAAGCCAAAACAAGAATTAACCCCAAAATCAGCAACAAGTCCAACCAAGAAAGAAAATTCAATAACTCAAATCAAATCTATTACGATTCACTAGTAAATTCAAGACTAACTACTTGTAATCAACAGAAAATTCCCACACATGAGTACAGAGCATAAGTAACTAATCTTCTCAAACTTATTTCAAACATTTTCACAAAACAAATTCCCGTTGTCACAAAATTCTCATTAAAATTCACTTTCTACAATTCACAAGACTAAATTCAATTTCTACTGTTTAAACAATTCTCACCTGACAACTTTTCACAAACTTAAAACTCAGAAGATAACTAATCTCAATTACTCTGACTCATTAAACTAATTAGAACTTCACTCAAGCTGAAGAATTCAATCAAAAAAAATTAAATATGCAAACATCACTATTGCTGTTCTCAGGCAAAAATTCAAATCTAACCCGTGTTCACTTTAAAACAGAATTTGGAAATTGAAAAACAATCTACAATTTTTTTTTAACTCATTCATTTGTATCATTATGTCTTAAGAACTTATAAAATTCATTGCTCAATACTAATTTAAATTTTCTAACACATTACACAATATACTGGAATCATAACAAAACATTGTAAATCAAAAAGTAATAATCTACTACGCTAGAGAATCATGAAAACATTACATACATTTCACAAAATATTATTCAATTAAGTCAAAAAAATCAAAATTTCTCTAACGTTACCCCTCACAATTATACATTTCACAAGATTCTAGGTTAAATAATTAGCAAAAACACACACAAAAAAAAATTTCTAGCTACGCATAGCTATGGCTTGTCTCATTCAGTAAAATAATTAGAGTCCTTAAGTCTCGCTCTCTTAATAGTGCTCAACAAATGAGTCCAGTTTTTACCGACAAGCACTCGAAACTTTATACAAGGATACACAAATAGCATAGGATTATCGTGAAATAATTCATTTTCCATCTTGTATCATAAATCAGTACGTCGAAAATCAAAAATACACATCTAAATACACTCAAGGATTTTCAACAGTAAGAATGTACAGTACCTATTCTGCTACATTAAAATATATATTTTTCCTAATTTTAAAGTTCAATTCTGTTTGCCTAACGTTAAAGTCCAAA